ACGTATGATGTATGTATGTATGTATGTATGTATGTATATGTAAACATTTTTATTCTAACTTATATCGCAAATACGGAAAATCATCGGCTTATGTTGGCCAAAAGTATAAAACACCCCCACAAATGCAATGTTTTATATCTAATAAAAAATAAAAAGCAGTTTTATTGAAAAATAATATTTTTATAATAATTTTAATATTTTCTTTGTTTTTCTTTGAATTTTTATTAGCATCTTTTCCAATAAATTGAGGACGCTTTATACTTATGGCTAAGACTGTATTCATTCATCGGGATCTTGAAGCAAGATAAATCGCTCCTGCGTGAATCAATTCTATTAGATAGGTAACATTTGTCTATTGTCATGCGTTTGTTGCGTTAATCTAACAGAAAGAAATCTTTTCCATTGACATAATAAGGTTTATTCGCGTTGCTTGCATTTTTGCATTCAAAATCTTCGCTTTCTCTCTCCCCAAATGTATATGATTTATCTCGTAAGTGCAAAAATGTTTGAGGATTTCAAGCAACACAAACAAATCTATTATACGTCTATGGTCTTTTGTCCTTTTCATATTATGATCTTAGAAGATACATAAATGAAATTGTTTCTAGATCCCAGCTTTATATTGAGACGCAACGTGCTCTTCCGCTGAATACTCAACATGTTCAATATATAATTGATAAATGATCTGTAGACTCATCAATATTCATACTGATTTTTTACTAAGGAAACATAGCAGCGCAAAAATCTGTCGAATAGATAGAAAATAAGTATCGAGGAAGGAGAATAGACGGAGTCAAAACGGGAACGAGATGAAATATTCGTTTAGGGAAAAGGAAGATGGAAAACGAATGTCTGAATTATACAGATTAACGACGAAGAAAGACACACCGAAGCCAGTACGACTTGGAGTTTCCTATCCTTAATACTCTACCTATGTACAACCCTTTCTCTCGAACCTCGTAAATGCTAAAGCAACCCACAGCCTCGGTAAATGTACAAACATCCTCGACTTCGGCGTCTCCTATGTATACATCCGAAAAGCGGCCTATACACGACATTTAATTATCATTACAAATATATTTCTTTAAGATATCGATATGAATAACAATGAAATTTATAATATGATCAAAATTTATTTTACCTATTGAGATTTAATTCTGATACTAATTATATCAATCAATTGTATCGTATATAGGCCACAGTATGTCGTCCACCGCATATTGCGATCAATAAAATAGGAGGATCACAAACTGTTCTTGATTCTCGCGAGCGTCACGTGGACGGCTTCACCATTGCTCCTGATTCCATCACAATGCCTGACAATATTATTCAAGAATTCGCAAGATTCTTATACTCGTGTATTAGAGCACTGATTCAAAGATCAGTCTACTGATGGTAATCGAAGTTGATGGAACAGAATACATCTCTCTCGCTCATGATGGATACAAGCGATCGGATGACGAATGATTCATTTTAACTGTTCTCGTCTCTCTCTTTTATGTCTGATGTTGATGAATGGGACTGTGGTGTTGCGACCACGCTGGCGGCGACGAGTGATTGAAGTTAACTGATATCGTAACCGGATGTAAAACGGTGTCGGGTCCGGTGTCCGGAATGAAGCTCAGATGGGGTCTGATCAAGGACGCCTCAACTGTCAGTGGCACGTAGAAGGATCCGGCGTCGTGCAGAGCGAAGATTGGCACCCCGTGAGACGATGAAGACGGCGGTTTATCCAGCCCGGCACCGTTCGACACTGGTGGTGAACACGATTTTACTCTCTCTGCCGAGAACCTCTGCTTGATCGAACTCTTGAACTTGTAATTGGTCGGTCGGTCTCGACAAGAGACGGTTCCAGCTCCGGGTGGCGTACTATGCGAGTGGGTGCTGTGATTGCTGTCGTCACTTACAATCGTTGGCGGTGGCACGATCGTCGGTCGCAGCAGCGGGCGCTCCGGATCGCCAAATGAGCTCACACCTGAGCTCGAGCCATGGTCCGAGTGACCGCCATTGGGCTGACATATCGTCGGAATACTCGTGTGCGAATAGCCGGCGCCATTCATCGCTCCATTCATCACTGGCAACTCGGGATGTGGGAAGCCTAATCGGTCACCTACAGCAAATTTCAATGATTAACTACCGGAATTCTTTTTTAAAGCACATTGAAAGAAAAAAAATGGTCGCAATTATAATAATTTAATTATAATTTCTAGTCATTTTCGATATCAACTACATATATTTTTAATAAACCTATAAATATACTTGTTATTATTGTCATTGTAACAGTAATAATTATAAAAGTGAAGTTCATAATTATTTTACCATGCAATTAAAATCACAAACACTTTTCTCTCAGCACAGACACTCTATATTTCATAGGGAATTATTATAACTCTAACGATCGTATCGAAATTTTGAAAATGAAGAATTAATTAGATCAAATATTAAGAATTCATAATCTTCGACATACAGAAAATGTCAATTAGAATGTACTATAAAAATTAAATAATATTTTCTCTTTTCAAGACATGCAAATTGCAATAAAACTGATGTTTATAGCATTGTTATCATTATATTTATTACTGTCAGTGACAGGATCAAAAGTATTAAAATATACTTTTTTCTAAATAAAGGCTTTCTATATCTTTCAAAAGTAAAATGATACGTACTGGTGGCTACGATTTTGTCGCAGTGCTGCTGCAGATGATTGATAAGCTGTACGAAGAGGGTATCCCTCGCGAAGAAACCCTCGACCTCGATGAGGAAATGCATGGTTTCGCTCAAACACTCCTGAAATCCCAGCTTGTAATGCTCTGCCGCGGTGGAGGCCGCGGTCGAATGAGACACGCTGTCCACGCTGTCCTCAGGATGTGTGTGCACCGTCGTCACGGACGAGTGCTTGGTATCTAAATACAAAACAATAAGTGATGCCGTAAGTATGACTTAGGTATACGCTGTTAGATATGAAAAGAGCAATGACCTATTCCAATCCCTTATTAAATAATTTTATTATTTTTAACTTTCATATGTGCCAAAATCAAAATCAATCCATTTCTATGTTTCAAAATAAACTTTCATATTAACGTACTTAATAAATAATAAACTGAATTTGAGTCAAATTTAATACATTTCTTGAGTTAAATTGTTTAACTCTATTGTTTTAGTTAAATTAGCAACATACTGAGAAGCAATGATTACTTAATGAAATTAAAAATAACTCAAATTGGATGCAATTTGACATTATAAATTTAATAGTGTATGCTTGTCAGTAGTATGCATATTTCTCATTCGCGATCTGCAATCTGCGATCTGTTTGCGGAACGACATTGGCAGATCTTGTTGCCAACTCGCGGAAATACAATGCAATGTTGCGTAATATATTCTCGTTCCTAAAATAATTTTGTTTGGGAGAATCGCGATTGGATCAATTAAACACTCACCTTGCCGGAGGCCTTGAAGATGCTTCATGTGGCGGATCGCCATCTCAATGATTTCTGTCTTTTCGACTCTGCCCCGACCCTTCTTCAAGTATTCCGCAGGTATAAGTCGACTGAGATCGGCTAAGCAGTTGTTCATACGATCTCTTCTGCGCTTCTCGATGATCCTGTGTGACATCGGATCTTGCTGCAATAAAAATAAATACGATCCAATGATCTATCCGATCAATCTCCTAATATCTTAATAATAATATCATATCACTTTAGAGCCATCCATGTTTTAAAATACTTTATCATAATTATATAATCTATTAATCATATATATAATCATATATATAATCGTATAATTTTATATTATTACTATCGCAAGAAAGGAAACTTTGTATACTGTTATTATTATTATTATTATTATTATTATTATTATTA